GCCAGTATGGCAACTTGGCAGGACCCTACCTCAAAATAAAAAGGGCTGGTGATATAGCTCAGTAGTGGAGCACTGTAGCCTACATGAGGGCTTGGGCTCCCTAATACTATAGTTTCAGTGTATATATTTATGCATTTAAAGAGAGAATAAAGCACTACTCCCTTCTCTCGAAAAGAAATGAAGTGGGTGGGGATTTAGCTCAGTGGTTCTGCAGCCTGCCCTGCAAGCAAGCACAAGGACCCAAGTTTGATCCCAGTACCAAAAAAGAAAGAAAAGAAAGGAAAGAAAGAAAGAAAGAAAAAGAAAAGAAAAGAAAAAGAAAAGAAGTGTGGATAAAGGAAAACATTAACAGTAAAGGTTCTAAGGTAATTTTCTTAGGTAGTTAAGTATACCTGAGAAAGATTCTATATGCTCCCATCAATAATGACCAGTTTGGTGATTGGGTATGACTGTAGGACAGTAGTTTTATGATTGAGATAAATTCAGGCCTGCTTTGTGTAGGTGTTTTTTGGTGGTGGTTGTTGGTTGGTTCATATTTTCTATGTCCATATTTCAGATTTGGAAAAGATTGCAATCTAGTGACATGTACCAATAAATTGTTAATTTTCTCCTTAATTCCTTTTTTATATACACTGTCTTTTTCTCTTTTAGTTTGTAATAGTATCTTTTCTTAATTTTACCTTTTATTTTCCTAGTGATAAACTTTTTAAATGGCATTATAAATAATATAGTTTATGAAATTGAAAGTTTTTTTTGAGGACCTAGAGATATTAACTTTTAAAGGAGTCATTTTTCCTATTACTAAAATGAATTTGCCATTAAACTTAAAAATATTTGAGTTTTCTGAGCACCAAGTAATGTTACGGTGCTGTTGAACAGACTGTGCCAATCTGTATACTTTTCTTAGCTTCCACCATTTTTATAATATAACATACAGAAATTGTCTCTTTCATGAATTCTCATAGATTATAGGCAAGCCAAGAATGCCGTATCAAAATACATCCTGGGCTGGGAGCCCAGCTCAGTGGTAGAGCACTTACTTAGCATGCAGATCCCCATCCTAGCCCCACAAAAAACAAATGAAATACTTCCTATCTTACCTTGGCTTTATAAAAAGTCAGTTTTTGCAAATTGAACTTTTTTGTGGGGGGGAGTAATATATAAAATTGGGAGGGTGTATTAGTTTACATGTGAAATGCATTTTATAACTAAGCTTTATAGTGCTTTATAAGCTTCAGTGCCAATACACTCCACAAATAGTTTGAAAAACTGCAACTATAGGAAATGCCCACTCCAAATTCACCCATCAGTTTTAACCTATAATTTTACAGTTTCTATAAAACTACAATTTACTTGGGACTTAAGAGAGTTGAGCTAAGGGAATATTGAGCCACCAAAAGAGACTTCGATCACAAATAGCATTTCTTTGCTGAACATCTGCTAAGAGACAAATTGTTCCAGTGAAGTTGGTGGGGGATTTATCTTCTGTGTAAATTTTCAAAAATTAAAAATGTTGGGGTTTTGCAACAAGTTAGGTGGTGTTTTTGCAGGTGATTTAAACAATGAGGCAATATTAAGGTCTGTTTTTGTGTATATACGTGACTTGGTTTTTTTATACAACTAATTCAGAACATCAAAGCTTATTTTAAAGTACTATTAAAAGAGCTATGGTATATACTATTAAATTGTCTGTTATTATATCTTTCTTTTTAAACAAAAAAGAGACATGGCCATTTATTTTGTATTTGATCACCAGACCTACCTCTTTTTTTAATTCAGTCTATTTTTAACTCATATCCCATCTACATTATAATTACCTACAGAAACAAATTCATTTCCAGATGTTATTTGTGTCTTTTTTTCTTCTACATTTTCTCTGCTTTGATTAATTGCTCAGCTAGTGAATGAATTCAGGATTGATATTTAGTATATTTACTAAATGCAGTTTAGCTGGTTGGGTTATCTCTTTTATTCTACTCATGTGACCTAGCTTTGCCATGAATTTGAAGATTCCACTCTGTGGTGATTGTGAACCTAGGTTATCCTCACTTCTGAAGCCTCTGAAAAAGATTTAATTCTGAGCATGCCTCACAGGCTAATGTCAGGCTCAGTCAAGAACAGTGTAGCCTAGGCTCGGGATTTAGCTCAGTGGTTCCGCCGCCTACCTCACAAGCACAAGGTCCCAAGTTCAATCCCCAGTCCAAAAAAAAAAAAGAACAGTGTAGCCTACAGGGTACACCCTAGGAAATGATCTGCACCAACAATGAATTAATTGAGTCTACTGCTTTCTAGCCTGTTGTGCCCTAGAACCAGACCAAAACTAGGCTGTGCCCCTTCCTATAAGGAGAGGTACTAAACAGTGTTGCCTGTAGCATTTGCTCAAAGGGATGTGTGTCTAGTAATGTACTTAGCACACCATAACAAAGTACCACAATGAGTGGCTTAATAGAAATTTATTTTCTCATACTGTAGTTTTGGAGTCTTAAAAGTAAGATGAAGGTCTGGAAGGTCTGGAAATGGTTTTTGCTGAGGGCTTTCTTCCTGGTTTACACATAACTTTGTTTCTGTGTTCCCCACAGAAGTAGTGGTGGCGGTGGTGGTGGTGCCCCTTTATAAGGCCACTAATCCCATCATTGAGGGCCCTCTACTCATGTCCTACTCTAATTCTAGCTACCTTTCCAGTGCATCATTTCCAAATCCTATCATATTGGGGGATCAGAGCTTCGGTATGAAATTTGAGAGGAACACAAATATTCAATCCATAGCAGCATATATACCTTTTTTTTTTCTGCTGGGATTTGAGAGAAATTCCTTAGAGTTGCAGAATTATCTTTCCCACAAAAATATGTCACTTTGTTTTAAGGTCTAAGACACTGTGAAATACTAAGCAACAATATAGTAATGTTGAAATATGTAAACACATTTCACTGACTGTGGTGGGTTTATGTCTATCTGTAAGATAAGAATCTAATAAGAATCGGTTATAATTCCTTCCTTTGACATTTCTTCCTAAATACATAGAATCTATTATTTCCCCCAAGTTCTTCTGACATTTTTTCCCAGTAATCTTAACAATTCAAAATGAATGATGCTTATTTGTGTTTTTATTTTGTAAGATTTTATGAGACATATTTGTCATGCTTTATTTTGTGATAATGAGTACTACCATTGTATAGACAATCTGAAGATTATACAACAAATGTAATTATGTGCATTAATAATCTAGTTGAAGCCTACATAGTTGTAACTCAGTAAAGTTTAACTTATGTTGTCAGCATTGAAATAGTATCCCTATGACACAACTTCAAGTAAGTAAAAGCTAAAACAAACATCTCATCTGATATTCTAATAGCCTTGACATAATTTTATTACATTACTTAAAATTTCACCAGCCTACCAAATATTAGTAATATGAAGAGAACAAGATTCTGCTTTCTAAATTCTGTGGTGTAAATTAATTTAGTTTTTCTATGCTCCTGGATATACCTACATGGCCAGTTTCTTATTCTGTCTTATGTGACTAAGCTAAGTGTGTTTTGAGTTTATTGTTCCAAAGCTTTTTAATTCATAATGAATCTTTGAGTACTGAATCTCCTAGGACGTCACCTTACCATTTTGTTCATTAAAATAAGAAATATTTGTGACCGAAGAATATTGAGGACATTTTAGTTAAATTAAGACAATCTATTTAGTATGTCTGTTTTAGAAAATTTTCTCAAATTCTAGAAAGCTTTTTCTTTAATTGTCTTTGTCATCTAATTCCTAGTCTGTATTAAATATCCCTGCAAAAAAAGTGTTAAATTTCATTTTAAAATAATTTAAAAAGTTAAGTGGATTATAAATAATCTGTGAAAGATCTGTTTTCTTCATAATAATTAAAATATTCTTTTCAGCTTAGGTCTTATATATTAGTCTAGTAGACTTCATACCTCTCTTCATATTTGAATGAAATGACTATATTTTCAATATATTTCAGAATTACTAACTTTTAGGTAAGAGATTTTTGAATATCAAAAGAACTCAGTAAAAAAAAGCAAAAGAGCTAATAAAATAGAGAGATATTTAGATGTATTATTTACAAATAACCTGTATTCCATTTGGTCTATATTTATAGTTGTAAAGTAATCTGTATTTATTTATTCCACAAATTCTTACTCGAAAGTATTTTTAAATTGAATACTTCTAGAAATTTCTACTAAAATTTGGCATATTTATGTCCATCTTTAAGAAGTATTCAGATTTATATTAACAGAGGTGTGTGTTAAAAGAGTGAGACATGGGTGATATGTGTGCTTGTTTTGGTGTGTATATTTTTCTAAAAATTGTCTATTTTGCAAATGAAAAATACATCTGTCAAAAAAGTTAAATGATATTTAAAGTACATTTCTTTAGGTCTTGCATACATCTGCTCTGATAACTGAGGATTCACCACAGCAGTTAATAAATTTTTTATTTTAATGTCTGTTTAGGATTACAGGAGGATTTATCCAGAGTGAGGGGTCAGGTTGTATGTGAGTGTATTTGCATTCAAATATTGTAAGGTCTAGGAATACTCTGTGGTTCTGTCTTCTTTCTTCCTCTTGTAATTATTAGAAAATATCATCATTTTTGTACTCATATATTTTTCCCTCTTAAGTTAAAATTCAGATGGACCAGAAATAAAAATTGCAGCTCATTTTGTGTTATAAGCCAGCATCAGACTACCTTGCAGTCGCTTTTAGTATAGACATTATAAAAATAGATTTCTTATAGTACAGAATAAAACCCAGCATCTCATTAGGTATAGATTTTTATGTGGAGGATAGTTCCTTGAAATAAGCTTTTGCCTTATCTCTTTTTATCTTTCAGGCATTGAAAAGAACACTTTGGTCTTCTTTAACTCAGTGGTACTTTATAATGCACTATTCTCATCACTATAAAAAATTGATGCATGGGTAAAAATATCTTTTTTATACTACAAATAAATTGAGCTTGTTATAGTCCCCTCTCTTCATTTTCAGGAAGAGGCAGAAATCCAGGCAGAACTTGAACGTTTGGAAAGAGTCAGAAATCTTCACATACGGGAACTCAAAAGAATAAACAATGAAGATAATTCACAGTAAGTCATTATTTGTGTTTTATAGTTGTATATGATAGAAGTCCTTGTGCCCCTTCTCCATGGAGAGAATAAACATACTTGTTTCCTAGTTAGACATCTCATCACACTTAGAAAACATCCAGAGTCCTTCCCATGGCAGGAAGCCCTTGTGTAATCTGGTCCCTGGCCCCTCACCATCCTGTGGTGCCATAGACACTCCGATCTCCTCAGACATGCCAGGCACATTCTCAGCTCAGGGCTTTTGTGATTGCCGGTTTCTCAATCTGAAACATTCTTCCTCTAAATATCTGAGTGGCTTACTTTTTTAAAGCACCATAGGTAGTACATGTTAAAGGAATTCAAAGAAAAGAAAATCTGTGGGTTTGTGGAAGCGTCACAAAGAAGATGGAAATTAAACAAGGCACTATGTGGATTTAATTGGTGTAAAAGAGAGAAATGATGTCCTTTTACACTTTGTTTTTAAAACTAGCAGCATAATTTAAAACTTCATACTTTCCTTTTCTGTATGTGGCCTGAAATGATCAGTGCAAACCATTGCTTTCTTTATCCAGAAAACCCCACAGAGTCATACAAATCAAGAGATTCAAATCTTTGTGTTCACTTTAAGAACATCTGTGAAACTTCCCAGCCCATCAAGGGTATGCATATCAGAAAAGCCACCAAGTATCTGAAGGGTGTCACTTTAAAGAAGCAATGTGTGCCATTCTGTCGTTACAGTAGAGGAGTTGGTAGGTGTGCCCAGGCCAAGCACTGGGGCTGGATATGGGGTTGGTAGCTCCAAAAAGTAAATTTTTGCTGCACATGCTTTAAAATGCAGAGTATAATGCTGAACTTAGGGGTTTGGATATAGATTCTCTGGGTTTTTATAACACATCAAGGTGGACATAGCACCTAATATGCACCTGTTCTTAACCAAGTCATGGTCAAATTTATCCATACATGAGCACCATGTTGAGATGATCCTCACTGAAAAGGAACCAGTTGTTCCTAAACCAGAAAAGGAGGTTGTGCAAAAGAAAAAGAAAATATCAGAAGAAGCTGAAGAAACAAAAACAGCACAGGAATAAATTCAGTGTAAAATAAATGGCAAATAAAATTAATGAAAAAAGCTTCATGACTTAATGTGAGCATCATAATTAAAAATAGCCAGTTTCTGTTGTGAAATATTAATATTTTGCTTATGAAAATGCCTATTTGTGGTCATCTATATATTTGTAATTCATAAATATACAGATCATTCCAGTATGTGAAGTGAATGGAAATAATATAATTATGAAATAATCTAAATTCTGAATTCTGTCAGGTTAAAATTTCTAATGAGAGCCACATTCAGACTTTGTGGAAATGACTTAGATTGATTAAAATGAAGTGAATTATTAAAGATTTATAATGTACCATTTTATTAATGTCTTTCAAGAAAATCATATTATCAAACCTATATGCATTTGATGTTTAACAAAACAATAAAATGCATCTCAGATTATTAAAAAATATATATATTTGCACCTCAGATTATTAAAAAAAACTTTAAAAATTTTTGAGTTTTTTTAATTTCAAGAGTGCACATTTTGGAAGTACATTTTTCTGCAAAACCCTGCCGTGTATAGCTTCATATCCCTCCCCTCCCCCTACCGGGGACCAAACTCAGAACCTTGCACTTGAGAGGCAGGTGGGGTGCCACTGAGCTAAATCTCCAACTTAGCTGTTAATCTTAAGCAAGTTACTTACCCTTTCTGTGTAGCAGTACCCTCATCTGTAAGATAGACATAGTAGCAGGGCTTACTTCATAAGGTACATTGATAACTGAGTTAATACACCTAATAGGTACCAGGTACAATAAATGTTAAATAGTAAGGGTAGTAATAATGTGAGTGACTTTTTTTTACAAGTTTTGAAAAATCCTTTTTACATTGATGATTAAATTTTTATTTTATAGAAATCTAAAGACTGAAGTTTAACCATGTGTAAAGACCTACTTATAAATATAATTATTTTAATCATGTCATAACTGTATATTGTGATCAGTCATAATTCTTAATATAAAAGTATATTTTTCAAGAGAAGTAATATCAGAAGAATAAGTAGGTAAGGGATTTTATATCAGCACAATGATTGTTAGGCCTTTATGAGAATACTGTAATTGATCATTATTCAGCTATAAAAGTTAGCATTGTGAGCATCAAATTCTTAAGTGATATTCATGCAAGTAGACTGGTAGAGAATGAAAAGAAATATTGAGTGGAATTTGAAATTAACAGTAGAGTAACCGAAAAAGAAATAGATATGAATAGATTAGGAGAATGAAACTTTAATATAGAAGGAACTTTCTAATGTGCCTGAGTATATTTCTCCCCTACTCTTAAGGTTCAAAGATCATCCAACGTTAAATGAAAGATATTTATTACTTCATCTGCTTGGAAGAGGTGGCTTTAGTGAAGTGTATAAGGTAATGTAACTTCTATTCTTTACACTAATAAGGGTATTACTGTGAAGAATTAATATTAAGAGTATGTGGTTAAAAATTGCATGTCTTTTTGTTGATATTATGTCCTCATTGTATTTACAAAGAAAAAAACCCAGTTTATTGTGGCTTACATTGTCTATCTGTAGAGTCAAAACACTGACCTTGCACTGATCTGCATATCTCTATTTAGTCCTCTCAACAACTCTAACTTTATAAATAAGAGTGAGACTCAGAGAAGTCACTCAGCTAGTAAGTTTATCTGACTCCAAAGACAGTAAGTCTTAACTACTGCATTCCTATATTGTATCTGATCTCATGCTTTTATACTTTTGTAGCAAAACAATTGTTTTACTGCTTTTTCTTTGCTACATAATTTTAGGTTAAATTGATTGGGTAAGGGTACTGGGGTCTTTATTAAGCAAACATGTAGCTATTAAGTTGTGGTCCATGGCACCCCTTCCCTTGGGGTGGGCTAGGTTTGGAACCTGGCTTCCTGCATACTAGGCAGTTGGTCTGTCACTGAGCTCTAACCCCATTCTCCAAGTGTGTTTTTAAAAGGATACCTTTGTATATAAATCACAGTGGAATTTAAATTATAAAATCTTTTTAAATGGTATTCAGTGTTTTTGAAGAACATAAATCATATAAAGCTTTAAAATACTGATCATATTGTGGTCTCTTAATTTAAGAAATAGACTGTTAAAAAAAAAGAGGCTGTTGATTTAAACAAATCCAGAACAATTCTAGGGGGAGGCAAAAAAGAAAAATTGAAGACCAATTGGGTATTAGATGAGATTAAGAAATTATTGATGTAGTTAGGTGTGATATTATTACCTCTTATTGATAAATGCTGGAAATTTTGTGGATGAAATCATGTGTTCTCTGGGATTTGTCTTTAAAATGTTCCAGGAGGGGAAAAATAAAAGCATGAGGAGCTGAGGATGTAGCTGGATGGTAGACGATTTACATAGAATGTACAAAGCCAAACAAATCATGATTATAAAGCCACAGATAAAATATTGTTGGCAAAATTTTTGAAACTGTGGTGGGTACATAAGGGCTCACTATAGTACTTATGTATATATTGAACAATTTTATTAAAAAGTATCGATTTTTTAATAATTGGAAAATTGCTAGGAACTTATTTTCCAAAAAATGAAAAAGAAGTAGGGAGATTACTAACAAAAGATAGATAAGAAACAGTTTGTTTTATCCAACCCACAAAAAAAAAGTTTTTTTTCTGACTGCTTACTACTACTGCCAGAATAGAGAAGCAAGTCAATATTAAAAACAAATATAGCCTTATAGTTTTATCTTGATCCAATATATTGGCATTTATAAAACTTGAATGTGAAAATTCACATTGAGGGTTTCTTTGATTTATCACCATGAAATTTGTATCTCATTTATTTTATATATTTATTGTTTTCCGTACTGGGGATTAAACCCAAGGGTGCTCCACTACTGAGCAACATCCCCAGCCCTTTTTTAATTTCAAGATAGGGTCTCATTAAGTTTCCCAGGTTGGCTTGCAGCTTGTAATCTTCCTGCCTTCCTCTTCCAAGTAGTGTGGATTACAGACTTGTGCTGCTGCACCCAGCTCGTAGCACATTGCTGAAAATAAATGTCTCGTTGAACTGTATATTTTTAGTGGAGATGATTGCTAAAGTTTGTAGTGCTTATTCTTTTTCTGTGTTATTGTAAAATTTTTCACCAAGATTTTTTAAAAAATACCTTTAGCTATTCAATTGGTCTATGGACATAACTGGTTTTTGCCTTGAATTCTAGGCTTTTGATCTATATGAACAAAGATATGCTGCTGTGAAGATCCATCAACTTAATAAAAGCTGGAGAGATGAGAAAAAAGAAAACTACCACAAGTAAATACTAGTACTTTATGATATTTATAAACTGAATTTTGTAATGGTCTTGGAAAATTAATATACTCTCTTCCCATAGACATGCCTGCAGAGAGTATAGAATACACAAAGAACTGGATCACCCCAGAATAGTTAAACTGTATGACTATTTTTCCTTGGATACAGATACGTAAGTGAATATTTGATTTAACTTTTAAGAAAGGATGTTTGGGGCCAGGGATTTAGCTCAGTGGTTTCGCGGCCTGCTGCGCAAGCGCAAGGACCCAAGTTCAATTCCTGGTACCAAAAAAAAAAAAAAGAAAGGATGTTTGCTTTTGCTTCCCCTGTCCTTCGATGATAACTGTTCTCCATTTCTCCACTGTAATTCCGATTACTAGATGATAGTTATGTCTAATTATTTTTCTCTTTTCCCATCATAGGTTTTGTACAGTGTTAGAATACTGTGAAGGCAATGACTTGGATTTCTATCTGAAGCAACATAAATTAATGTCAGAGAAAGAAGCTAGGTCTATTGTAATGCAGATTGTAAATGCACTAAGATATCTCAATGAGATCAAACCTCCTATTATACATTATGATCTTAAGCCAGGTAATTAATGAAATGTGTCTAATAATTTTTTAAGCTCTAAGCAGCATAGTTTTATAAAATCATATTAAGTTGTCTGTAAACATGCTCATTGATTTAATTTTTAAAACTTAGATGGAACACTAGTGGAATTAAAGGTGCTTTTATTATATTGCCACATTTAAAATTTATATTTACTTCTAAAAAGTTAACTTAAAACATTAATGTTTTTCATATATGTATCAAAAAATAATGTTATATTTTATTCTTAGGCAATATCCTTCTGGTAGATGGGACAGCATGTGGAGAAATCAAAATTACTGATTTTGGTTTGTCCAAAATTATGGATGATGACAGCTATGGTGTAGATGGAATGGATCTAACCTCCCAAGGAGCAGGCACTTACTGGTAAATGTATTACTAAAAATAATCAAAATTACCTACATTAGCCCCATTGTCTTTATGAAAATTTAGTTTTATTTTCAGGTAGTCTTTGATATTATTGTATTGAAAGAGTTGATATTAGCCTCTGGCCTGAGAGGGAGAATACTGTGATTAGTTCTCTTTTCTGTTCTTAACTCCATGTATCAGCAAACTAGAGAGAGAATGACTTGTTATTTAGCAAGTGACGTCAGTACCTACCAACCAGAAACTCGTAACGTGGACAATCTGGATTTATCTTCTACACTATTATAGTGATGCATATCCTATAAATAAATACTTATACAAATTTAATGCCTAACTATTATAAGTAAAAACTATAAACATCAAACCTTCTGTTGAGGTTTTAGAGTTTAAATTTTTGAGAGAGATGGATGTTTTATTCATTACACATATGACATAGATTTGTTGTATTCTTGGTCTTGAATTTGACTGTAAAAAATCCTTTTTAAGGACTTCATATATGTACATCTAGATAGAACCAATTCATAAACATAAATGTCACCTCGACATACTGTACCTAGGTGTTTACAAAAACTCTGTCACTGTGAATTTTCAAACTTTTTGTCAAATTCACCAAAGTGGAGAACATACACTATAAAATTTCAAAACATTTCCCAGAATAAGTTTAGTAAAAGGAATTAAATTTTAATGAGCAGAGACCTACAGTCAACTTCATTGAACAGGATTGTGAGTACAGAGAGAACTGGGCCCGTGATAACTTGTTCCACAAGATGTCACAGATATGTATAGATTTTACTTTTCACAAAGAGCAATTAGTCACATTATGTATACTTTTTTTTCTGGTACCGGGGATCTAAGCCTAGACCTTGTGCTTGCGAGGCAGGTGCAGTGCCACTGAGCTAAATCCCCGACCCTCACATTAGGTATATTTTTAAAGCCATTTGAAGTTTAAAATTCTGCTTATTACATCTCCTAACAATATAATATAATAAAATAACGATATCTGGTTTTTTAAATTTTATATTTGAAGAAAATTATCATTCAAATTTGTAGGCCCCTAATAGTTTTTAGCAACAAGGCTTATGCTTTCATAACAAAATCTTAGAACACTGATAAAAACAAGGGTCCTTGGTAGAACTCTAAACTCCACGGGGACAGCTTGAAATCCATGTTCTGAATATGAAATCATTTCTCTGCAGGACATTCTCATTATTTGTTTCTCTCTCACTGTGGCTTCACTAGTTCAGGACAGGACAAGGAAGTTTCCTGCTTCCAGGTGGGCTTGAGACAGGGTAACTTGTTTCAGGGACTATACAGAAAGGAGAGACTGTCATGGCATTTCCACACTAACATAGGAAATGTATTTCCCAGAGAAACAGTGTTCCCCAAAAATGGTTAATTGCTATAGTCTTTCTAGTTACTTACCTATATATATTGGAAGTTGTGATGGCCTATCCATACTTTTAGAGTGTGTGTATGTATATGTGTGTGTGTGTGTGT